ATGTAATAATACATAATTATATAATATGTAATATATATTTATTAAAAAGTTTTCTTTTGTGAGAATATCAGCTCAAATACAATAAAGTCATTTCTTTTTAGTCATAAACCAAAATTGCCTTTTGATGTACTGGCCAAACCATCAGGAATAGAATTTTTTAATCAAAGTAAAATTTGAGAATTTTAGGTTAATTGGCTTCCTTAGTCAATTCAAAGTTTATTCACAAGCTCTCAAGAGCCTGTTTTCTGTAGTAAATGATTTTCCAAGCCTTCTGGGAATTCATTATTTGTTTAGGACATAAAGGAGGTGACCATGGCTATAACATGGGGTTGTACATATTAGAGCAATACTCCAAAAGTAATAAAGGTGCTTGCTAAGATGTCCCTTGAATGATCTATATAGTTAATACTTGATGAACCATAGGATTACAATGTACCAAAATTGACCTTGCAGAGATGATACACTGTTTAATCTTTCAAAAATGAAATCTGAGCTGGAGAGACAGCGTAGCGGTTTACGCATCAGGCTTTACAGCGCAATCTCGTAGGTTCGAGTCTCAGGGCTGCCACTAGGGCAAGCGTTAGGGCTAGGCTAGGTAGGCTAGGCTAGGCTAGGCTAGGGTAGGCTAGGTTAGGATAGGTGCAGCGTCAGGGACTCCCTCACCCCCCCCCCCGCATGAAGGTGGGGGGACTCCCCTCCACGAAGGTGGGGGGCGGGCGCGGGAGATTTTGGGGCTGGGGAGCTGGCTCAGTGGAATAAGTGCTTCCCTGGCAAGCGCAAGGACCTGAGTTCAATCCCCAGTTCCACCAAAAAAAAAAAAAAGAAAAGAAAAGAAAAAAAAGAAAAGAAATCTGACAATAATAATCATAAAAATGTTCAATATGAAACCAAAGGAAAACCTAAATAACTCCTCTAGCATCATTTACTTTTAGTTACTTTTCTCACAGATTTGATTTTATTTTTTCAAGTTTGAATAAGCATTCCTTTATTTGCTGACTGCCATTACAAAAACAGATTACATTAGCAACAAAAGTGTTTTGAATTGACATCAGAGTCTCACAGACTTTAGAAGATAACTGCCTAAACAATAAGGGAATAGACCCCACTAGCTTTCCAGTGGATGACTCCTCAGGCATATGGCCATTACAGTAGTAGTTATTTAAACTTTTTTAGGAACTTACAGGCACCTTTAGCTCTAAGTAGTTGAATCCACTGACTCCCTCACTTGGGTGTGTCTAAAGGTGTGATGGGCAACCTTTTGATGTCAGACAGCCAAAACTCCATGCTCAGATCATGTTAAGGTTGACATTTTCTTTTTTTGGCAGAACCGGGGATTGAACTCAGGCCCTGGCGCTTGCCAGGGAAGTGTTTATTCCACTGAGCCATTTCCCCAGCCCCCATGGTTGACATTTTCTAAACATGTGTTCAATGAAGAACCAAAAAGTTTGGTTACATATGAACAGACAATGGGTTATTTCATTTTTAAATTTCAAATTGGTTTTTCCCATGCCTTAAACTATTTTGCTTTGTTAGAGCCCTAAACACCTTGAAATCTCTTCTGGTGGTGGCAAACCTAAGGCACACATGCTGCAGGGTGTTGTTTGTTATCATTAGCAAATAACCTTATCTAAAAGGT